TATTATTGATGACATAATTCCTATTCATGTAAAGTGAACGACATTTTCTGATCGACTTAACGCCCAAATTATTATTCTGTTTAATATATTCACAAATAGACGCCTTTCCATATGTTGTATGATTGCAATGAATGTTTCAAATTAATTAAAACTTTATTTTAATCGAAAATAAAGCATTAGGATTATAATAAAAGCAAAATATAATATTAATATTTTCTAAACGTTTACTGTACTAATATGTTAGCATGAATAATGTTGTGGAATAAAAACAAAATATTATAAATACACAATTCTTAGAAGCTTGTATTAAAATTTTCCAACATAAACAAAATTAAAATTTTCATAATAATATATGTTACGAATCAATTAGTGGAGAATTTTATGAAAACGAAATGAAAATAAATTGTCAAAAAGTCAAAAGAATATGTGTATTATAATATTGAAATGAATACCAGATTCTTGTAGACAAATAAATAAATATACGGTTAAATAAATAATTTATTCCTTTATGTTCTTGTATTAGTACAAATACATTAAATGTGAAAATATATTAAAAGTTGTTTTGATTTCATTTTCTTTGTGCAGAAACCAAAAAATGTTTTCATTGATGTGTTCATTGATATTAATGCTGTCACACATTAGAGGTGAGTTCATGTCCTTTCAATTGCTTTCAAACTTTTATGAATTCTTACGGAAAAGCATTGAAATTGAATACAAAATTGAATGACCATAATATTAGAGAGCGAGTCAATCGACTGTTTCAAATGTACCAGCTCAAATGGCGACAACCGACGCTGCGAAGACCCTTTCCATAACAACTTCTCGTCGGCTATACTTCACACTCCGTGTTGGGCCGGTAGGAAGAACAGGAACGGCATATTCCCGGCCACGGCTTGCATCAAATTGAGTGGAAAATTTGGTTTGTCTTACATTTTTTAAACATTCGTAACATTTTATGTATTTATTTATTAGTTATTAGCGATGCTTTTGGCGAGTAATTTGAATTTTAATATTTTATTAGCCTATGAATTATTAAATAGATATCATATAAATGCTTAGAAGTGTTCAATCATAAGAATTCAACTAAATTTAAATAACTTATTTTTGATTAAATCTATGGATATAAATTATACCACATAATTATACGATTCACTAAAATTTTAAGTTTAAATCTTTATTGCATTTTATATTATTCATAAAAGTTTATGAATATTTTATTATTTTTGTGTCATTAATTCAAATCAAGCGAATTAGTTGTCAAGTTTTTGAATGTAATATATTTAATGATTTTCATAATGCATGTATTGAAATATAATATTAAGATTTCATAATTACCTTAATTTTGAAAATTAGAATATATTCGCAATTATATTTATTTTATCCTAATTTTTATTGGAAATAAACTTAATTTGGTAGAAGTGATACTGTTGTTTCACTAGCAATATAAGTCATACATGTATTAATAAATATTAATGAATTGTATTTATAATGAAATTTAGACGATAGCGGAGAATCAATGGTAATCCGTGACTGCGCTCTGGACAGCGGTTCCCTCACAATCGACACGGAGATCGTCCGCAGTATGTGTTCACACAAAACAATGAACTAATATATTATGAATAACCCAATGAATGGATTACTTTTGGCTAACTTACTGTAGTGTTAAGTCCACTTCCACTCTCCCTTTCCTTGATTAACAATTCTTTGTGAGTTGTATTATACGAGTGTATGTCATACTGTAGTTCTTTAATAAATGAATTGTTGTTCACAATGAGAGTCAGTTAGGGCCACAAACAAGACATTCCACTTTATGTCGGATCTACTATTCACTTAACACTATTACTGACACAAACTTATTACTTAACCCTCAAAATAGAGTATGAGATACTCGTTAACTCATCGCTTGCTAGTTAATCGTTTGAGTTAATTATAGCTTTTATTAATATTAATAAATCTATCATAAAAGTCAAAGTTATGGCACAATAATGTTCACATTTTGATAGGCATAACAGTTTTTGCTTAGATTATTGAAAGGATTTGTTTCATAAAAATTAATTAAAGTCAATAAATCTTTGCACATATAGTGTCACATTGCGGAGGCTTTTACTTTGACCAGAGATATGTTCGCGGATGTGTTCAGGTTTGTAATGGCTTTCCCTTTAAGACATTGT